ATAAAATACAAGTGTTGTTGTTTTGACCACTCCAGACTTTCTCCTCTCCTCCATGCACTATTTGCATTTGTAAATTGTGCAAGATAAATCACTCTGTGATTCTCTGGTGTCAGTCATAGGCAAGAACTATGGTTGCATTAACATTACAAGATCGCTTGTACAACTGGGATTCTGCTTAAACAAAGACTAAATATGGTACACCAGACACACAAATAATTTGGTTACAGACAGTTTAAGATGACAGTTTGAAACAACACTGCACAGGCTTTCGGCGGGTCGTGGTCCAGACAGCAGGGTCCACTGTGTTTTAATAATGTAAACTGTGTTCACAGTAAGCTCTTTGGCTGAAAATAGAAGTTTTATAGGAGGTGTTTTATGGCATAAAGGGTGTGCACTGGGCTCCTATAGACTACAAGGTCAGTTTTATAGGTTTAGGCTGTCTGACTTGGTGGTTCTTGAGCCAAGTTTCTTAATTTGAGTGAAACCGGGCCACAGTTACACAACTTGTCTAATTCCTTCCCTTCTGGGTAATCATCAGTTTAAGCGGGCCCAGATGTGGGACTCAGACTGTGGAGAGTGATCCACTCTGCAGGAAATGTACATTATGCATAGTATTAGAAAAAAAAACAAAACCTCAGACTAGTGCTAAAATAATGAAAGAATAATGAAAGAATAAGCCAATTATCAATGACTTTTAACAATTAAACTTTGCAAATCCAACTGCATTACTTCTTTCTTTTCTGTTTCGGTTCCTATTAAGGTCTTGCTCTTTAAGAGCCTCAATATCATACTGTGCTGCTGTCATCTGAGGATTCTTTTCTACCTTAAAATAAATGTGATTCTTTGAAGCAGTGACCTGGCATAGCTTCTACTGTGAGCTGGATATCCATTTTGAAGGCTTTATGACCAGATCCAGGCAAAAACGTTGGGGTACGGCAGACAACAGTTTCAGTTCTCATACGTGTTTTTTCTGCAAATCTTTCTGCAAAAGTTGCAAATCCATTGCTATCCTAGATATCCTAGAAATATCACAGATATTAAAAAATAAATAAATCATATAATACATATTATGCATTTATCTTAAGGGTGGCTGTAGCTCAGGAGGTAGAGCAGGTCACCTACTGATCGGAAGGTTGGTGGTTTGATCCCTGACTCCTCCAGTCTGCATGTCAAGTATCCTTGGGCAAGATACTAACCCCACGTTGCTCTCTGATGTGCTCATTGGAGTATGAAAGATGTGTGAATGTAGTTAGAAAGCACTAAGTATAGTGAAAGTGCTTGTGAGAATGGGTGTGATTGGGTGAATGTGGCATGTTGTATAGAGCGCTTTGAGTACTCCAGAAGGGTAGAAAAGCGCTAAATAAGAATCAGTTCATTTACCATCACAGTAGCATGAGTTTTTATTTGACACATCATGTTTGTTGAGTGAATAGGCATTACTTAGACTAGATTTTTTTATATTACCCATTACTGTAATCACATTACCTTTTCTATATAAAGCAGTGATATTATTTGTGGTTCTTTAATTACCTGTATATTGGACTGAATTAGATAGGAAATAGTAATAATAATAATACATTTTATTTATAAAGCGCCTTTTAAGGCACCCAATGACACTGGGAGCAGAGCAGCTAAAAGTTCTGCTTCCCATGGTGGTGAGGCAGAAAGAAGGCACAGCAAGCTGGATAGAAGAAGAGGATCGAAGTGAGTGGGGTAGTGCTTAACACATCAGAACGGTAAGAAGGAGGAAGGTTATGAAGGGCCTTGAAGGTGAGCAGAAGAAGTTTGTATATTATTTCACTGAAATCTGACCGTGCAATGAAAACTCTGTTTGCTAGCAACCAAGCTGCTCTCAGCGTCAAAAGACTTCACCTTCAACCTAAAGAAATGTCTGGAACTAAGTTCTGGAACTAAAAACTAATGTTAGCCTGATGCAGCTAACTTGTTTTAGCTGTGGTAGCTACCTGGGTTATGGGTCACTTCAGTATCTACGATGTACTGTGTGATTTATTACTATTACTGAAGGCTACTTGCCACTGAGCTAACATTATTAGCTGGCGTTAGCTGAGGTTAGTTCATAGACTGCAGAGTGTTGGACTTGATGGATAGCATTAACAACCTGCTAGCTGCAAATAATCATGTTCAGTTCAGTAGTTGTAATGAATCACACAGCAATAGTACATTCATGATACATTCAAGTTATGAAAAGCATGATAACATGTTAAGTAATCTAAAATATTCAGAATACATTACTCACACTGAGTAACTTAACGGAATACGTTACAAACTACATTTTGGGGCATGTATTCTGTAATCTGTAGTGGTATACATTTTAAAAGTAACCTTCCCAACACAGTTAAAGCGTATGAGTATGAGTTTCTGCCAACCCGATTAAACGAGTCTGATCTTCAATAGGTACAAAAGCACCGATGAGCAGCCAGGCTTGTAGCATTGTAGCATCAATTTCTACCAGTACAACTTTCTACAACGAAATCACTGAAGTGTTCTTTGGGTTGGTTTATGCCAGTGTGTTGCACTGTAGCATAACATTTATATTGTTAAATAGTTATTACATAACAGTACATCTCGTAGAGTTAAAGAGTAATAGAAAAGCAGTAAGGAATTAAAGAAACTAATTAAGTACCCCAACACTGTCGACAAATGTAATGCTATTAGGCTGGAAACATTGTGGAGATGAGGCTAATACACATATAGATCCCAGAGATCAAAAATCACCCATAGGTGACAGGCACTGGAATATCATGAAGATATTCATCTCCACAGACTATAAGGCTTCATGCTTTTTCATCAGTAATCTCTGATTTTCTTCAAATGAGCTGCCAAAAGTGACTCATTTTTACCAGTTATACAATAAAGATGTCTCATTCTTGGGAATCAAGAAAAATAGTCAGCAAACCCTTTCTAGTTATATCTCTGGTTGATATGTATAACAAACTTGAGGTGCAGCACAAACACTTTTGAAAATGTGTATAAAAAGTATTAGTTTGGCAGTTTATCCTCTAAAGGGTTGATTTTTGTCCAAAAAGTATAGTCATTTCATTCAGCTTCTATTTGTAGAAGCAGTTCATGTTTTGTGTCGGATTTCTGAAATCTGCCATATCCAAAAAAATTGCGATGCAATATAAGATTTAAATGAAAATTTGTTTAAAACTATATTTGACTATAAACAAAGTACAAAAACATCGTAATAAAAAGCGGAAGCTGAAAAACTGATAGTTTATTTGGAACATGATGCTAGCAACATGTTGGTAAAAACTGGCACAGGAATATGGTACGACATGTTTATCACTGTGAAGACTGACTTTTCTTTTTTATAACTGCAGTCATTTAGCAAACAAAGAAATCAATTGCTTTAGTGTGAAAGTGAATGGTAAAGGGTTGACATCAGCTTTCAGTGGCTTGACTGTTTGGCTCTACATTGGGATTTTCTGTTTCACAGTATACCAAATGTCTGGAATCCAGGTGCCGCATGCACATTTCAATATAAATGGTGCCTTCAGAGATGTGCATGTTACCAGAGCCATGTGTACTAATGTAACCCAGTTGTAAAGTTTCCATATTTAATCTTTTATGTATTCGTCCATTCATACATTTTCTTAACAGTTTATCCAATTTAAGTCTAAATAACTAAAATCAGGTAATTTCTTCTGTGACAGAGCTGACTCTGTTGCATATAAGTGTTTGTGAGGAATGTCTAACCTTCATGAACATGCTGAAGCCGGTCTTCAACAGGTCTGTAAGACCTCCAGACATGTGCTCGATGTCAGGACATTCACGTCGATCAGGGTGAAAGACTTCCTCTAGAATCTGCCGCAGGAAAGGTCGATAGGTCGCCTGTAAAGCATAAATATCAAACCACACAAATAAGCATGCTTAACATCTCCAATGACAGTGGAGGTTTTTCTTTATAACAGTCTCTATGCAAATATACAGATTGCTACAGGTGTTTAAATTGGTGGTTGAAGAACTGTTGGTGTCTTTGTGGAGCCCATATTGTTCTGGGCTTTTAGCCCCTGCGTGATTATGTGAATGGCTCTGGGTGTTAGACAGTGAAGTTATAAACAGCCCTGTTCAAGCTCTGCACAGGCTGCTGACTTATAAGTCAATTCAGGAAGAGCTTTTAAAACAGCGCAGTAAAGAACCCCACATGGTTATATGTGGCTAAAAAAAGCACTCTGGCCAACCATGTGGGTGATAAAGGGATGAATCAAATGAAGAATGTGATATTCCATTAACATGATTCCCAGAAACTAAGATTATTCAGACAGGGATATTTAAGTTCATGCTGACTAGTTTAACTATTCTATGTCCAGTCTGAATTATTATTAGCAGCAAATGGTTGTGAATGGTTTACTGTGAACTTTGGTGAACACATCAATCCCCCCTTTCGCCTTAGACAGCATAGTGTGTGATGTAACTTGCTTCTTCAAAGTATACACTGGCCCACTTTTCCAAAGTTTCAGCAGCCTTGCTTTTATAATAACAGCAGCTTATGTTTTGTCCCACTTCACAGAAAAAAGGCGTTTCAATAAAGTGTGTGTCCTTGTTGGAGGAGCTGAATTGCACAACCTCAACTAAAGCTTCATAAATGTCTTCGAGTATTTACAGTGATCCATGGAAGGGAAAAAAAAAAAACCTCTAACAGAGGACTTTTTCTGCCCAGTGACCCAGGACAAAATGAACCATTTATAGCCCTCAAAGCTAGCGGATCAAGAATTCAAGGCAGATTTTTTTTTTTTTCCAAAGGACCGAAGCTTGCTCTCTCAGAGAATAATAAAGACCCAGATAAGACTTGGCAAAGCCTTGTTTGAGTACTGTGAATAGCATAAGTGTCTAAATAAACATTGTGAACATGCTCCAGAACTGGATCCACTTTTTTACATGAGGTTATATTTGGTGGGAAGGAGCGGATTATCCTTTAGATCATTGGTAGATAATTAAATTTCCCTAGAGAAAAAAAATTATATTGAGCAGAACAGTTCCAGTTTCTCATGTGGACCCTTGAAAAAATTACTTGCCCACTCCCGATTTAGATCTTGCAAAGAAACAAGCACTAAAAACACACACCTACACATACAATACTGTCTAAATGTTAATGCGTCCAGGTGTTTCTGCCCACAGACATCCTCTCAATATGCATCATTCTTAACAGACACCTCAGAGTCTCCCACTCCTCAACAACCTGCAGGAGAATCCAGATTAGTCTTGGGGAAATCCTGCTGTCCAAATGATATAAACTAACATACACCTCCACCAAAATGACTGTGCAGCTTGGGTCACTCTGCACAAACCAACGTTGGAGTAAACACAATAATGATTCACCTCTGGCTCAAACATGATCGTGCATGCGCATACGCAACATCAAGGCATAAACAGGCATAAACAACAAATCCAACCGGCAGTCACGCACTCTCCATTATCATCTGAATTTGAAAAACCTAAAACCAATACCATTAAACCAACACCCACACGTTAAAAACAATATTAGAATTAGTCATATGATAATGTCAGTGCTTAAATATTCCCTTGCAAACACAAACATGTGAGGGCACATACACACCCCCGTCAAATGTGAGTATCAGGTTTCCCCACGGGTTTTATTGGCTTTGAGGTAGATGAACTAATTAATGTTCCAAAACAACAGGTGATAAAATGAAAAACACAAATGAAGCATGGAAAACAACAGTCTGGCATGTCCCTGGAAACAACCCAGTCCAAAAATATGATAAAGTTGTACTATGCATATCATTTAAATGCCTAAAAATGGTGTTGTTTAATTCATCAGCCTGTGGACTCTTTTCTTTTTGATCATTCCTGTCAAAATATGAAACCTTTTAGCGAGTCATGCTAAATGTTAAGTATGTAAAGGAATACACTGTCTATAGCAGGATGTAGGTAGTAGAAAAACTGATGCTGCTATAGAATATATGCGGTAATTTTTTAAAAATTTACCGCCAATTGATGGCACAACATTCTCAGACGTGGCTCTCCCCAAACCTGGGCAACACACAACCATGAGGCCATCTCCTCCCATTAATATATCAATATACTGACTAAAAATAATTAGAAAAAAATTGAATAGTAATAATTTTGAAGCAACAAGGAGTTTGCTTGACCTGTTTCCTGGCAGGAAACAGTAGCTTCCTGAACCAGAAGGGAAGAGCTGATCAAGAAACAGAAACTGTATGTTAGCAACTTTACTTATCACAAAGTAGGGCAGCCTTAAATAATACCCTCCTTTATTATTTTTTTCTATGTAATGTCCAAAATGAAAATATTTGTATATTAAATAACAATTGAAATTAATGTTTAGGGTCATAGAATCAATAAGAAAAGTCATTTTCAGTCACTGCCCTTGCTGGACATTAATTTTCGTTTTCTGAATTTCATTTTTATTTTGGATGCACTTATGCTTTAGACTGCTTCACATCTCATGTAGGTGGTAATAGATTATATCTTATTACCATGTCAATGCAATGACTGGTCATAATAGAAAGAGAAAAGATATTATAGAAGACATAAAAACCTGAGTAAATACCTCCGAAAGCCTGTGCTCAAAAACCCACGCAAGAGGGAGGACAGTCTATCTAGTCATAGGTGTGTATGCTCACCCATGTGTCACAATCTGTTCAATGTAGATGCAAATGATTCATTTTCTTGTTACTATGGTTTTTGGTTGGTTATACAACTCTCCCACCTTGTTGCTAGTCTCTGAAAGTCTTAAAACTTTTCATCATGATGCAGATGCTTGCTACTAAGAACATTTTCCACCCAATTTCAAGTGGTTCCCAGAAAAGCAATAAAATCAAGCCTTTTGTTGAACACGAATTCTTTTTTTTTTTTTAGCGTCTCGCTGTTACAGCTTGATCACTTATAGCCCACTGTTTTCTTTTCTCGGAATTTCAATAGTGCTCAGTTACTCACACCATGACATGCGCCTGGAAATGTGCGAGTTTTGTGTGCCTCTACAATGAGAATACACGTGACTATTCAAGGCTGTAAGTGTAGCTGTCTGCTGGTCAGAATAATTATGGTTGGAACAAAGAAAGCCTAACTGAAGCAAACAAAGGAGCTGCGGTATTTGATTTTAATTTGAAATATTTTTATGTTTAGTGTTATAATCACACAAATGTAGTTACAACACAACACAAATGACAACATGCAACAACAGAGCTCAACCCCAAAACAACCCTACTTAAGCCACAACTTAATTCATTTGCTCTTGTTCACCGCTTTGGTGAACCCCAAAACACTTGATTACTGAAGCTGATGGCACACAACACTCATTCCCTCACACTAGGATAAAAACATATGATTCCCATGAGTCCCATCACAGAGTCAGAGCAAGAGATTCTGACCCATGTCAAGCCAAAGCCACAATCATGTCTTTCCACATATTCTTTTGTTAAGGGTGGGTTATATAATATCATTACACTGGATTTACAGGTACCACACGCACACAACACACCCACAAGAAAAGGAGTAGATAACACAGAACAACTTGACTCCTCTTCAGTGGCCTTAAACATTGGAGTGAGGACCTCTGCATATTAGGCCGTAGCCTAATAAGAAAACGTCAGGTGTCGGCTTCACTGGAGGCAGGGGTGCAGCCTCAGAGAGGCTGGAAGATTTCTGACGTTTCTCAAGAACAGGCAGTAGCTGGCAGATATCATACTGTCCTACTTTCATATGAAATCATTTTTATAATAGTCCTGGAACAAGGACTGCCAGGTCTGGCCTAACACAATGCTTCTCACATGTATCCAAAATGCTTGCTCAGTCAAGAGGCTACTGGCACATTTTCACAGACACTGCGTGATTATTATTATTTTTACAGTGTTATTCAGATGCAGAAATGAGAGACTAAGTCATGAAATGTATTCAAACTTCTGTGTTAATGAAGAACATAAGCCTGAACTGGAACAGTTACTAGATATTTAAGTTGTCTGAGAAAGAATTAGACTCCAGTCTTGGGGCACACCTACGAATCTGAATTGCACATCAGCACAAAATTTGAGCACTGGGAACTTCATTGCACAGGCCACTAGGGCTGTTCGATATAACGATATGTATCGGATGACGCTATAAAAACGTCTATCGTTTCATTTTACGCTATCGTTTGTTTCGTGGTGTCGCAAAATAAACTGTTTACGGCAATATTTTTTCATTGTTTTGATGGTCGCTGTAGTGGCTATATTAATTTCTTAAAGTTCTCTCTTTCTCTTATATTTTATATAACCACACTACAGACGGACAAGCGCCTGTTTTTATGCGTTGTGGTTAGCAACAACGACGGTAACAGCATCGCTTGTTTATGTTCCACGTAAACCTTTCACAATAAAGCTCAAGATCCTGTTGAGACTTTTCAAAATAAACTGAATCACGTGAAAAACAGATTATTTACGGATGAGAATTAAAAAAGAGCCGCCAGGTGCTAAAAAATAAACCTTAGACTCAAACGTTAGAACAGGCTTTTCCCCGCAGCACGCCGTGTAATAAATACTCACAAAGAAAACGGCGGCCTTTACAACTTATGTCTAAAAATGTATAGATTCATGCATCTGTTAAAACACTCCAGCTACATGACGCGCAGCTGGAAACACTTCCCGCAAGTCGAGCTGCCCGAGATTCACAGAATTTACAGAAAATGTTACATTTTTGTGATTTATATTGTTATTGGGACGATAGAATTGTTACATCGGGATATGAGATTTTGGTCATATTGCACAGCCCTACAGGTCACCTACAGTAACATGTAGATGGCCCAGTCCATACAGACAATTTATATAAGGTAATTCTTGTTTAGTTGGGAGGACAGAAGAGAAGAGAAGAGAGCTGCAGAAGCACAGCTGTCTATTTTCTACTTATGGTGGAGCTTTTTATTCTTTTCTCAATTTCTATGCACTGAAGAGTGAATACAAGAAACATTGTGTAAAAATGACACATTACATTTTTTGTAGTTGTTATGTCTAGATTGTAAATTGGTTGAAGATGTTTAGACTGCAAACAGGCAAGACTTCACGTCACTGATCCCAGTCTTTGAAGTTAGCTAGCTGTGGTTTGATTTTCTGTGAATACATGCAAGCCAGGGAGAAAGAGAGCTCTCATTCATGTCAAGAAACTAAAGTAAGTTATTTCACAAAGTAATTACATTTTCCTATGACTCTATAGTAACTACTATATATTAAATGTCATATACTTTATACTGTGGCTAAAATGTTTGAAAAAGCATGTACAATGGATAAAAGACTGCAACATTCAAATGCATTTCAACCGTATTATCTCACTATTCTGACAAACTTCATCTCCAAGGTTTTCTACATCATGGCTGTATGATTGGTTAAATTATTGATGTAAGATTTGAGAGAATCACTCAAGAAATAAACCTCAGAGGGTAGAAGGAGGAGAAGTAGACAAGGACACAGAAGTATTGTCAAATGAAACTTCAGCAAAAGCTTAAGTTCCAAGAATAGTTCTTTTACTTTCAATCGACTGACCTTAAAGCTCCTGGCCTATAATTCTCTGAAAAACTGCCCAATGAGAATGAAGGACAACAGCAGTGAAGCCGCCACTCTATAATGTCACTGTTTATACCAAAAGGACAAAGCTTTCAGATGCACTGAGAGAGCCTTTGGAGTTACATAAGCTCCAAGGCGAGTGTGACGAGGCTCTCGGAGTGAAGTCCCCTGTGCCTGCATGCTTGCATGACGCAAAAGGGAGAGCAACAAAAGCAGGAGAGGTCAGAGGTCCTCTGGTAAGTCTGGGCTTGCGCTACAACTAGGGCTGGGTATCGTCACTGATTTCTAGAATCGATTCGATTCCAATTCACAAGGTCCTTCGATTCGATTCGATTCAATTCTATTTGAATCTGGGAAATTTTGCCTCAGACAGTCAGAAATATTATAATTCAGATCAGTACATTTACATATTTTTGTATCTATAAAAAGGAAGCTGACACTTGTAAGTCTTTATCAAAGGTGTGAGCATCACAGCAGATGCCTTTGTGTCAAAGCAGCTTAAGATAAAACACAGAAAAACATGAAGGTGATTTTCCTGGCCTGGGATTTTATAAAAAATATTCTGCAGTACATCAAAAACGAAAGAAAACCATTAATCAACATATAAACGTTACATCTGACATTACAGCAGTTTTATTAGAGACATGCTAAGCGTTTTGCATTTTGTATAATTTTAAAAAGTTTAAATTTGTTCAGAAGCCTATTGAACAGCAGAAATTAGGTTTTCTTTTCGGAAGTAAGTAAAAGGAAAAAAAACGTCCGACAGCGCTCTAAATAATGGTAGACTTGTGCATAACAAACAAGCGAATAATGCAGAAAACAGATTTCGGGGATAGATGGGAAACTGTTCTTGAAGTACACTGAGAAAGAGAGAGAGAGCTGTGCATGAAGTGTGATTTTATTGTGGTGGAAGCAAAACAGCAAAACTAAGAGGGAATTCACGACAATGTTTATGTGAAGCTTAGTTTGGATTTTCTTTTGCTGCTGGTTCAGTCAATATTGTTTGGAGAGAGATCAAACTAACAGCTTTAGAATCAGCGCAAAAGGGGCGTAAACACAAAGCGCGGCCGTGCCCGTGCCGTCGGGTGAGAAAGGCGACATCTCACTGATTCTGATCCGCGGGTCCACGCTGTGTGTTTAAGTCTTTGTGCAGAAGCCGTGTACCTGCTCTCATTTACTGTTTTAAATGTTTGGTGGTTGTTGAAATTTTGTGACGTTTCAACTGAGATTCTGGAATTTTGGGCAAAATTGGGATTTTAATGAATCAATATCACGTTATCCAAGCCAGAAGCGATTTTAATCAATGAATCGATTGTTAAAACCCACCCCTAGCTACAACCACAGCAAGAGTGAAAATTACATGGAGTAGTTAAATAAAGCACAAAGTAAAAAGTTACATGTACAGTGCAGTGAAAAAGTGTTTACACCATCCTGATTTCTAAAAGATATTTGTAATATTTACGTTCATGATCATCAAGCAAATTTTAATATTAGACAAAGTTAACGAGAGTAAACATGAAACCCAGTTTTTAATTAATTATTTCATTTCTTAAGGTGGAAAAAAAGCTTTCCAAACCTACCTTGGCTTATGTGAAAAAGTAAAATGTCCCCCTTGTTAAATCATGAATTAAGTGTGATTCACCACAGTTTTCAGAAAGCTGAGTTCAATTACACAGGCCAAAGCCGGGCCTCATTAATTCCTGGCCTGTTGAATCAAGAAATCGCTTAAATGGAAAGTATCTGACAAACTGAAGTAGGCTAAAAGATCTCAAAAAGCAATACATCACACCTTGATCTACAGAAACAGTTCAGAAACAATGTCACTGATATCTATCAGGCTGGAAACGATTAGAAAGTAAACTAGTGAGCTACGGTGAGAGCCATTATCCACAAATAGAGAAAACTTGGAACACTGGTGAATCTTCCCAGGAGTGGCCGGCCTACCAGAATTACTTCAAGAGCGCATTAATGGATCATCCAGGAGGTCAAAAAACAATCCAGAATATCATCTATAGAACTGCAGGTGTCAGTCAGAGTAACAACAATATGAAATAGACTGGGCAAAAAAATTCTATCCATGGGAGAGTTCCAAGGAGAAAACCACTGCTGACCAAAGGCTCATCCCACATGTGTCTAAAAACATCTTGATGATCCCAGAGACGGACAAGACACAAGTGGAACTTGTTACAGCTGGTGAAAAACTAACACAACATTTTATAAAAAGAACATCATACCAACAGTCAAACATGGTGGTGCTGGTGTGATAGTCCAGGGCTGCTTTGCTGCTTCAGGACTTGGAAAACTTGCCATAATTGATGGAACCATGAATTCTGATCTCTACCAGAAAATCCTAAAGGACAATGTCTGGCGATCAGTATATACCCTGATGCTCAAGAGCACTTGGATTAAGCAGCACAGCAATGATCCAAAACACACAAGCAGGCCCATCTCTGGCTCAAAAAAACAAACAAACACAAAATGACGATTCTGGAGAGGCTTAATCAATGTCCAGACTTAAATCTGATTGAAATGCTTTGACACGACCTTAAACACGCTGTTCATGCTGGAAAACGCTCCTAATTAAAACAATTCTGCAAAAAAAGAATGGGCCAAAAATCCTCCACAGCAAAGTGAAAGACTCATTCCCACTAACACAAATACTTGACTGCAGTTCTTTCTGCCAAGGATAGCACAACCAATTATTAGGTTTAGAGCACAATTATATTTTCACATAGGTTTGGATATCTTTTATCCCTTAATAAATGAAATCATCATTTAAAAACTGCATTCTGTATTAACTTGGGATATGTTGAAGCTGTGGTAGTGTTCATACTTGATACGGGTAAAGCAAACCACCCTGTAACAGAAGGCGTGTATGTGTTTTGAGGCTGGCAGTCAGAGTTTGTGTGCCTCCAACCTGGTGAACTCCATCGCTGGCAGTGTAGATGGAGCGTAGCTGCTTGAGGTGGTTTCTGGTGCTGCTCAAACCTCGGAGGGTCTTGAACATCTTCTCCACTGCAGAATGAACTCGCTCTGCGGTCAGCTCCTCAGGATTTGTACAACCTAATAAAAAACAAGCACACAGTCTCATTAACAGAACATTAAAAACCACAGATTCATCTAAAAGTAGACACATTGCATTTTGCTTCAAAACTTTGCCAGAGAGGAAAGCTAAATAGGCAAAAACCCATTTGATTCTGCAAAAACAATTGGCCATGAGATGTGGCATGTTCATTTTTGTGGGTAATTTTCTCAGCTGGGTGTGTACTGAAACCAATTATCAAGGTAAACGCAAGGGAGCGAGAGGACAAGAGCTCCTTTATTCCAGCGGAAAGCACTGCAGCCTAATCAAAATCTAATGTTCCCTTCTTTCTAAAGAAGTGCCTAGGGAAGCAAAGACTTGCTGTGAAATAAACCCGAAATGACAGCGTTTAAGAAGAAAGAGAAATGGCAGTGAGAAAAGGAGAGTGGGGCTTAAAAATATCAAAGACAAGTAAACCGAGTGAGAAGATAGTGAAGAAGGCTAAACGATGGCGCCCGAGACGTCCGTTTAGAGCGCTTCTGGCAAAGTGGGTTGAGTGGCACCTGCAGTTCCACAGCACACAGCTCGGAGATTTGCCTGCCTTTAATTAACAAGGAGGTCAGCTGTGTTACAGAACACAGACCTGAAAACTGAATCAGCACTACAGACTCTGAGAGGCTCGTAACAAAAAGAACAATGATGACTCCACCATTTGTACAAGTAGTTTACACATAAAAGTGCTTTTCACGCAGCGGTGTGACTCCAATATTAAGCTACAGTTTCCTTACAGTCAGGAACTGGCTCATGTTCTGCTTGGACATGTTGGTCCACTCAGTGATAAAAATGCACAACCTATATCATTTAAACCTGACTTACATTTTAACCGGAAGTACAACAAGATCTTATTGCACGTATTGACGCACGTATTAATGCCGTGAACATCACTTCAGAGAAAGGACAAACTAGTGCTACCACAAATTACACCAAAGTGCAGTAAAGACTAATTGAACTCAACTGAAATGAGTGCAAATAAGATAAACAGATTTTTGTATTTTTCATTTTGTTCATCTCAGTTCTGTTCTGTTTTGTTATTATCTACTATATAACCAATAAATGCCAAATCATTACGTTTATATACTCATAATATGTATTTATAAGTTTCAATTTGTTTCACAGTGTTAGGAAAGCAAAGTTTAAACTGAGTTTGGTAGGAAAAATGTGTATTCCCCAATCCCAGCTGCTTAGCCTTTAAAAATGTTGATTTCAATTATTAAACTGTTGCTGGAAGTCACAAGAAGGTTGCCAGCCAGGTTACAGGCTTGTGTCACTGGGGACATATTCCATGCCTCTCACTTTATTCACAGCTAGGATAGACTCTAGCATCCCTCTAGCACTCCTGAGTAGGATAAGTAGTTCAGAAACTGGAATGATGAATCGGTGAATCCTAAAAGCAACAATAACGCAACAAGACAGTTATTCTGTTGGCTCGGTAACACTTAGCCACAATAAGGGCCAAGTCACAGTTTCTGCATGCAAATGTGCATTTCATAAATATTTTATCTGCTTAAGTATGTTCGGGTTCATGTAGCGCCCCAGGCTACGTCCACACGTACACGGGTATTTTTGAAAACGGAGATTTTCTGTTTTCTTTTTAAAAAATAATCTCGTCCACACGTAAAGGCAGAAATGAAGGAAAACGCTGCTAAGAACATGCCAAAGCAACAGGTGGCGCTATATTCCTAACTGTGTAGAAATGTTGGCCAATCAGAAGTCTAGAAGCCTCGGTGGGAAAAAGTAAACAAAGCTGGGGCATAGAAGCAGAACCGAGTTGTATGTGTGGAGGGACAGTAACTGTGTGTGTATATGTAAGCATTTAAACACCGCAGAGAGTACAATTAACAGTAACAGTATTGTAGAAATTCATTTCACCGAAACAATAACGTGGCGCACAGTGTGAAAAAAGGCGCACACCTTTGACGCTGCGTTTTCTCAGTTTTTCTTGTCCACACGTAAATGCAAAAACGGAGTTTTAGAAAATATCCAACCTGGCCGGAGTTTTTAGAAATCTCAGTTTTCAGTGACCGAAAACGCCGTTTACGTGTGGACGAAAGGTGCAAACGCATAGAAAAATCTGCGTTTTCAGAAATACCCGGGTACGTGTGGACGTAGCCCCAGATTTAATACTGCATGGACTGTCAAATAACAAACAGGCAGCTTCCATTCCTGCAGGTACGAGGTTTTCATCATGGTTTCTAGCCCACACTCGTGGTCTATGGCAGCATATGCATACTTCTGGCTACATATATTTACCACACTTACATCCTTTAGTATGACAAATGTTTACATGATTTCATAATAACAATGGAAACATTCTGATGTTTAGCAGGTATGACCCACAAGAGCACTGCTGCTGCACAGTAAAAAAAAATCCCATCCATCGATCCATTCATCAGTAAAACCTGCTTGTTTTTTTAATCCCTCAGTGATAGGATGATTCTTCTGGTGTATATTGTAGTCACCTGGCAAAACGTCAACATTTACACCCTTTTAACTCCATTTTTGGTATCTCCCAACTCCTGCGGGACATAAGTGTGTGTCTGCCGTTTTGGTTCTAGACATGAAGTCTACAATGAAATGAAACAAATGAAAACAGATGTCTGCTACAGACAAAAATATTGTTCCGAGCCATGTGAGTGAATCAAAACAGTTAAGTTGCACAGTGAATACAAAACACTGAGCTGAAATTAGAAGGGTTTATAAAGCTGAGAGATGAGGGAGTTTCAGGCAATTCTTTGTGGACCCTTAACTACAGAGCCAGTCACGTTGTTCTGACACGGGCATTGCCAAATGATGCACAGTTATTACAAAGATATTAATCGTGGCTGCTTTAACAGAACGGTTTACACCCAACTCTTGTTTAAATAATTTTTCTCTGGCCTAAAGTAGTATTTATTCATCGAGAGTTGTGCAGTTTTAGAGACATGAGCAATAGAAACAAGTGTTTTCGCTTGAACTAACGTAGCATCTGTTTGTTCTTTCACTCGTGTTTCCCGGCACACTTTACAGATATCCACTAATCGCGTTACATGCAGGCAAGAGCGGACAGCTTTAAGGATACACTCACTGAATGAGTGTGTGCATGTGACCGTGCACAGTGGACAGATTGTGGGATACAGCTTTATCAAGAACCACTCATCCAAAAAGATGAGTCAGTGATTTTAGCCATCTTTCACAGGAAATACAAAAACAATAAAACCAAATAAATAAAAAAAAACTACACAAAAAAAATCATGACCAGCTATCTTTTGAGCTAGATTGAGTTCTGGGCCATCAGAATGATTAAATCTTTGCAAATGTTAGAAGTTTTTTGGCCTCTTTTCATTTTTTTATCCACATCCTGTTTTGGGGTTGAATTAGGTTTAAATTGCACATTAATTTGAAAGGATAAACCTTACGGGTAAGAGGTTCAGGAATGAATGCCCTCACAAAGATAACCAAACAAACTCACAGGGAGGCCCAAACAGCAATCACTGTAGGAAACCAAAGACCACAAGAATCCTGGGAATTGAGAGCAATTTTAGCCAAAATACACGAACCACGCATCCCAACTCGGGTCCGTAACAATAAACCCACCGAGTGTGAATTGTTCAGATGGGCAGCTGTCAATATAAAAAATAAAAACAGCTGCATAATATATACATTTGATTTTGTGGACATCACTTTAAAGCAAAAATGATATTGTTGAATGCAGAAGATACTAAAAAACAAGATATCTCTATTTCTCTGAAACACGCACTACTGCTCTCAGCTAAACCCAACATCGGTCTAATTAAGCAGACTCAAAGGTCCATGCATGACTTCTACCACCACAGGGTTACCATTGAATCCTGCAAACTCTCTTAAAGCTCTTACCTAAATATTACACAACAAACCATGAGCTCATGTCTTACACAGACCTACTTCTGGAATGAAAGCAAAGCCAGATGTATACATTGTGTGTTAGGAACATGTGAGTTTTGAAGATAAAATCTAACATTCGCAGAACATGTGGTAAAAATCGCCCTTTATGCACAGCAAGCTAAATTGATGGAGTGCAAGAGCACCTACGCCACCTCAAACTCTTATATCTTCAGGAGGATTTTCACAACACTAAAAACAGACCTGCAGAAATAGTTTGCTTTATGGTATTTGGCATGCTACATATGTAGAGCTATACATCACTTTCACCAGTTAGAGTGAACAGCTTGACTTTTTCAGCACGCTAGCTTTGGTTTTTTGATCTCTGTTAGTTCCTTTCCCCGTCCCCATATAGATGATATCAAATTAAGCAAAGCGTGTCTTTGTTTTGATTTGCTGTCTTCAGGAATGTAAAAGTGTCTGGTCCGCTGAATTTGTTCTCCCGCGTTGCCCAGGCTGAGCGGTAAACTCCTACAAAAAACACAGCGGGTCTATTCAATTGAGCTGAGCGTGAAGCCTCAGACAGATGTGGGTCTTATCTTTCCAGACACCCGCAGAGAGGGAAAGCGTCCTAAAAAACACCCTACTACAAATGTTAGTCACTGAGCATTTCTACAGTGAGAAGCAAAAGAAGAGGGGGATCGGGCAAACACGCAGTAAATTTTACTGATTTACTGAAAGCAATTAACTAAAAGACTGTCTGTGCATAGTGGGTGTGTTATTGATGGTAGTCCACTCCAATATGAGGGTGAGGTAGAGGGAGATGTGTAAATCTCTTTGAGCGCTTGTGTGTCTGCCATGAGGGAGCTGGTCGACTTGTTGCCAAAGCATACAGTACACGCCCAGAGCTAGGAGCTGGATGCAGGTCCCACCCCGAGCAAACTGTGCTTTGGATGTTGATCTGCAGACACTGAGCAGGAGCAGGACCAGGTGCTGACCCGGGAACATCCAGTTTGGCGGCGAGGCTGAACACCTGCGTCTCACGCGGCACAGTCACACCACCCACCATATCGGCAGCACACGTGTCTCACATGCAAATATGCAAGCTGAATTATCTTTATCCCCCCCGTTTCTTTCTCTTTTT